CAACATTCTTTATTACTGAACATACAATTCATACCGTGACTCTTAGTAAAATCAAGTGTTAGTTATGATAGCAAATTCACTGAAACACTCTTACTGGATATTCATCGAACTCAAATGGATACCCCACACTTTTTGCAACACTATAGAGTGTTCCAACACAAATTGGCAGCCAGCCAAAGTTTGATCTAAATCCAGTATGAGCAGAATTAGAAATATTTTTATAAGTGTGTGAATATTATTATGTATTTCTTGTAAAGTAAATCTGTTTCACATGGTTTTCCAATCAAGAGAGATGCAACTATAGGAGTCGCGACTCCTTGACTAGATGTGACCTTGTCGCTAACATTACTGTTACACCACATCACTGATTAATTAATACTATGTTTTAATACACCCTTTGAACCATATCGTGGTGTGGCTAGGGTTTCTCCTCTAATCATGCCAAGTAACTAAAGGTGTTGGACAGGTTTTGGCCCAGATAATGATTTTGAAAACAGATTGGTGCACATGTTGTGCGTAGAGTAATAGCAAAACTAAAGTTTTTAGAGATTTATAAGCTGCCAGATAAAATGATATCAAATTACAATGTGTTTTGTTTAAATTCTATAAACAATATCAGTTTATAAATAAATGAAAATAAATAGAATAAGATTTATATCTAAGAAAGATGATTAAAAAAATGAAAAAGATATATATTTGAAAAGGAGTTGGAATAGCTGTTCCTAAAGACAAGAAGACTAAAGATTCTTGAAATTAGAATATTTTTAATATTTTCATATTTAAATGACTTAAAATTATGTTTTTAACTAATCCATTGATTAAAATTTATTGATAGGACTCTTACAATTTTTTAATTATTGACTTTAGAAATTGAATAAAGTTTTTGAAGTCTTAAATATGCAATGATCTTATAAAAATTTAATTAAGATGTTATCTATAAATATCAAAATTTAAGTGTAATAATTAAAATTACAAAGATTCAAGTTTTGTAATCATTTTTATATAAGATAATAATAAGAATTATGGTCTATAATAGGATTTCGTATATTTCAAATAACACTATATTATACTAGAAATTTTAATGGCATAAGTGCAATTAAAATGTTGATACTATTATTTTTAAGAATCTAATAGAAACTACTAATATACTATTGTATAATAAAAAAATATAAGAAAATATTATTTATATATGAAAAATGGTAATGGTAATAATAAGTTCTCAAAATCTATAATAAATTATAATATAATTGTTTTACAAAAAAAAAAAAATAAAGAAAAGTAAGAAATTGTATATTGAGAATCAAAGATTGGTGACTCTATTAAATTCTACATACAAAGATTTTATAAAACTTATTCAAATAAAGTTACAATTTATTCTTATAAATATTGTGTCTTTTAATTAAATAATGTTGTTCCTTTTTTTTTATTTGAATGATATTTATGTTATTGAAATTTGATGTAGCCTGCAATTACACATGTATACTTGATATACTTTGGTTCTCATCTGCAAGTTTAGCCCAGAAAGCAAACTAGGACGCAATTAAGAAGAAGGGTGAAGAGGTTTAATATTCATGAACTCATTCTGGTCACTTGGACACAGGATGACGGAGGAATGTGATACAAATGTTGGAGTATGTAATCTGAAACTAACTGACACTTTTCTTTCCACATGGTTCATGCATAAGTTCGCAAGTTTGTTTGTCTTCATAAAACACCTTATTTTATTCATCGTATTTCTTCTGTTATTCTCAAGAAGCAATCGACAACATGCCTCTCACTCCCCCAATTATCTTTGACGACGTTCATTAACAAGTAAACGTTTGACAATGAAGCTACTTAACATGACCCTGAACCTGCTTTAATCACGTAGCTTATTGTTCATTGTTCTTATGATTGTTTCTTTATTTTTACAAAGTACGCTCGTGAAAAATCAATAGCAACAGAGCCATGACAACTGTTCCCTGCTACTTTTTTCTCCAGCACAATGCAGCCCCAGAGTCACGGCCTCCTAAAGACCAGGGCTTCGACAGGGAAAACCCCTCACATTGCAAGCACTTAGGCAACGCCCGAAGAATTAGTAATTCTGTTACTAGCAGGACAAATCTTAGGCCATGGAATGACATCACTGATGTTCAACTGGTGGCACATCAAGTTTGTCGTATCAAGTTGTATCGGTTTTTGGGGGTGGTCTTGGATGCAGCAACCGAAGCACGGCAAGCCCATGCTCTCGCTACAGGAGTCCTCAGGGCATGGCAGGTCTGGCAGCTAGGGAGAGCTTCAGCTCGAGGCACTGCAAGCCACAATCTTCTCGTGTGAAAACCAATGAAACAAAAAATTAAAACTGGAACCCGGATTCTGTCCCAGAAGAGAGGTTCGGATGATGCCCGTTGCAACGTAAAGTGGTGGACCAGTCATGGGGGTCAAGCCAACGAAAGAGACGCCGCTGCTCGCAGTCCACGGTGTCAACCCCCCATGGAAGCTTCTCCGGACACGTCCCCCTCGAAGTCATCATCCAGGAACTTGACGCTGTTGACCCTGACACGGAACGACGTAATTCAGCTGGTGATGAGGCTCAATCATGGTAATTTCTTCACCACTGAATGTGGGTTGAAGTGTTCGTCAAGGAAACGAAAATCAACAAGGAGGTCATAAAGTTTTAGAAGATTTTAGACTATTGGGGAAGTTATGGGGAATGATCTGGTTGCCGCGTGATGGCGAACGTACAGAAGATGAAGGGGAGGAAGCGGAGATGGGGGGCAAAATGGCAGTGATCTGCACAAGGTGGGATTTCAAAATATCTGAACCTTCTTGAGTAATGAATTGGATTGGAGGAGTCTGTATTTGGCACGATTATCGATTCAGTGTCGTCAGGAAGCCGGGAATATGGTGCTTCCGCTGCGCTCTGGGGCATCGCACCAGCAGTAACTTCCCCTCTAACCCCACTGATACAAAGCATTCAATCTAAAATGTGTGTATATCACGGACAGGTGAACCATTTCTACCGCCAGTGGTTTTACTATAGCTAGATTTCTGCTCGATTGGTTCGTTTTCCTTAACGACTGGAGGGAATGTGATCGTTCGACAATCTGTGCACTGTATGTCTGCCTGGAAAGTGATGTTTGTTGGATTTGTTTTGTGTTTTCCAATTTTTTCTTATTTTATAGTTTTGTGGTGGCTTGATGGTCAAGGCTTCTGGGGGAGAAGCCTAGACTAGGTTTTTTCTATCAGGGAAGCTGCTGGGGGGACAGGTGTGGCCCGGGAATCTGGAGAAGGAATGCGCCAGAGAAATTCTTGAATACTGAATTTCAGAACGAGCATTGTTTCTGGAGCGTAGCTAGACGAACAGTGAGGCTTACCAGCCGCTAGTAGCCAATGAGAGCGGACCATCCTTCCTAGAGAGGAGAGTATAAAGCAGGCCTTGCTGCTTTCGAGCTCAAAAGCTTTGTTTTGTGTGATAGTACTCGAGACAAGGCTCACCCAGCTGCTACTCAATTTAGTTCAGATCTCGTAATTAAGTACTCAACAAGGACAACAGGTGAAATCAAGAAGAAGCGGAAAGTACGGGAACTGGAATTTGCTTGACTTCTATCGTAACTGGCAGAAGTTTGTTTGATTAGAGAGGGAATTGTTACGCAAACCGATTGTAGGGTTTATTGTTTAGTACTGGGCTGAATTGGTGACCTGGAACCACGTAGTAGCCCAACCAATCTGTGGAGTCTTTACTTATGCTGGTGCGTACACTAGCTGAATGTGAGAAAATCATTATAGATTCTGAATGAAGTGTAACAATTCGAAGTTCGAATTTATTGTATGAGTCGAGATTAGAACAGAGAAAAGGCAATTTTTTGTATTCGACGCTATCTTAGAAGGTGATGCAGTTTTGAATCTGAAACGGGTTCTTCCGTGTTTGTGCAATCGAAGCGAAACTAAACCGAGAAAATGGCTGACGAACTGTTCGAAGCGTTGGAAGACCTTCCGGAGTGGACAAACCTAGGAGAGCTGCTTGCTGCGATCGAGGACCAGATGGGGAAGAAGGTCCGGGAGCAGATTGAATCTACCTTGGAAGATCGGGATAGCAACGAGTTAATCAACGTCAGAGAGCTCCTATCCGACATTCAGGATGAGTTGGGGTCCTCCTACTTCCACGATATTCTACAAGATGACTTTAGTAATCAGGAAAGCGGAACCACCCAGGAATGACTTTGTGTTTCTAATGGTCAGACTTGATATTATGTGCAATGCAACAAGAAGTAGAGATTAATTTTTCGTAGCTATTGTCGTTGGGTAAAACCTAGAGGTCGCTATAGTGTTGCCTAGTCTCTGAATTTCCTTCGAGATTCTGTTCGTGAAAAATAGGTAGTTCTGGTCGACGTGGTCAAAGAAACTTACTGGCTTCATAGAGAACGAGGTACTATCACATCTTCGATGTATCACCTGCTTGAGATCAACTCATACATGAGCCGGCAAACGACCAATTCATTTTGTTTTGATAGTTTTCGTATTAGCACAACTTAGCAGTGTCTTAGTTTGTTGCCGTCTGACTGTTCAGTTTCTCGGAACTGTACGGTACACGCTGTGAAGATAATATGCAAAAGAAAAGTGCGTCTTCCACAAATTTCTCTTGATATTGGTGCGTAATCCCATCAGAGTTGTTATACTGTGCCAATCACAAGCTTGATGCGAGCTGCTGAATTTTTTACTTGTTTAACGAACTGGATATCTGAGGTTTTGTTCAAGATTGTCTGATCACTGCACGGGACTGGCTACATTAGCCTCTTGGATTCCAAAACTGAACTAATGCGAGGTGTTGGAGGATAAAGAAAACTGCTCATGATAGCTCTTCTGCTCATCATTCGCATTATTTAAGTGGACTCATAGTGGCCTTGTCATTGCAGTAAATTTCAAATATGCGTTCCAAACGAGAACATCCATAAATTTGTGGAACCAGACAAATTCACTGATTAGTAAACAAAAAGACGACTACAAACGTGCACGTCAAGTGTTCAAAGCCCGCGAGCTTCTGTTCAGTTCTTTTTTAAAGGTTTAAACAAGTACTTGTTGAAACTGTAAACAGCGTATATGGTTGCTCCCCTTGGGACTTCCTCGAGGTTGCCTCAGGGATGTTCCGTTCTTAAAGATCAAGGATTGGCGACTGAAATCACGGATTCATAAAGCTCACCGCCATCGTGTAAAAATTACTTTGAGTTGGACCACTTTATGTCCAGCGAGAAAAATGAGCAGAGGCGTGTGAGAATAATACACCGTACTTAAGCACACCATGCTGCCCGACTCGCTTAGAAGAAATCTAAGTCTCCAGGACCATTCTTTGACACACAACCAACGAGCTCCTCCCTTGATAGCAAATGCCTCATTACATGTCCCCTCATCCTTACAATTATCGATCTGTGTGTTTAAAGCACCCACGAAAACTTAATCGATCTCCATTGTCAATCCCCTCCGAACAAGCTGCTTCAATCAATAGCCTGTCTAAGCACTCTGTGCAGGATAAATATCAAAACACCATGCATGTTTTCATGAAGCCTTCTAAAATATTCAACCCTTAATCGTAACACAACATCAACTTCCGGTTCAAAACAGAGAACAGAGACTCACACACACAGTAGGGTGGGTGCGGACCCAGAAGGTCCAGAAGATAGCGTCCATCGAGTCCAGAGTCAAGCAAATAATGGGAGACCTGGGCTAGGTAATCATCGACAGCCATGCAAGAAAGCAAGCATTGTCATACTGAGCCGGAGAGATTTTCACAAGCATGACAGTTAGGTCCAGTGGGTGGCACAGCTTTCGAAGCACTGTACTCCGCGTTCGAACGTGTTGGCCAAGCACAAGAGCGATAACTCTCGGAAAGGCACAGCAATGTTACATACACGAGGGTATTCCGTAGAAACTACCTAGTTTTTATTAAACGAACATGGAGATTCATTAGAGGTTATCTAGATTCCTAAACTTGGATCATACACTACTTTAACATGAATGAGAAAATAATACACATTAAGAGAGCCTGGTCGACCAGTCACACTTTAGCTAGCTCCACAAACATCGGAATTTAAATCCAGACTATAATTAATGAGTTTCATCAAAAGAGCCGCTTAGTACAATAACCAATGGCCGATCGGACATGCTGGATGCGCACGCTAGATGCCGGGTATCTTCCGAATCACAGAAACCAAGTCACAAGTAGTGAGCAGACTCCGGATGGTCAAAGCCCGGATTAAGATTCTGTCAACATCTCTGCTCCCGGATGATTCTGACGCCGCGATAGATGCGAGAAAGCGCGTCCAGTTGTGCAGATTGCGGAGCTAAGGAATTGCGAGGATCATGAGGTTGCAGCCTGCTCTTCTCACACCCAATCCTTGAACAGTCACTTTACAATTGTAACAATCGCAGGCTCTGGATTTAGATGGGAAAAGCCTAGGACAGTGGGTGTGATTGGTGCATGTCTCCGTGTTTTGTTCCAGCATTGTACTTCTTTCCCCTTTTTTCCTCTTCTTTCTCTTTGTCTTTTCTTTCAGCTTTACTCATTGTCATATTTACGCTCGTCAAGGTCGAGGGAGAAAAAGCCGGCGTTGCCGACACTGGGACCTAAGAGGGTGTCTTATACGTGTGTCGTTTGCTTCTAGATAACCCTGGACAGCAACTTGGAGTCAAACTTTGTGCTTTGTGCATTTAGAGAAGCCATTTTGGGCAGCACGGAAACAAATTGCTTGTTTGTTGAATGTTATGAAAGAGGCTTTCCGTTCTTTCCAGTTCAGAAAAAGCAGTAATTTGGGGTTTGGAATTTTCATCAAGAAGTAATATAGTCAGAAGGATTCCAGCTTAAGGAAGTAGGTAAAATGGCATGGAAGGGTTTCTAATTGGTGAAAATATTACTTTGATTAAAAAGTATATGGAACAGAATACCATTAAATTACCAAAAGATAGTAATTTGCACTAAAAAGTATCTATAAAGTTGGTTAATTGTTTTTATTTTGTTTTTGTTTTTGTTTTTTTATTTTTTTTACACTTGGACTGATGAACCCTAAGTGAGTCATTGTCACATGTGGTGAATGGGATTTGATAATTAGGATTCAAACAACCAACCTTTATGGAAAAATTTCAGAAGTTTTTGCAGAACCAGCATTTGAGGGTCATTGCAGACCAATTGTTTTTTTTTTTTTTTTAACATATCAAGAATATATTTGGTCCGAGGATCTATCAAAGATGATTGATAGTTCACAACTTAGATTTGAACTACCAATGTTTTTAGTGTTATGCTGTAATTTTGGACGCAACTTACAATCTCCTAGTAGTTTAAGAGCTTTTTAAAAAAATCCGTCTTTTGAATCCTAGACGTAAAATCCCCATAACAAATGAATCTTTGCTAATGGGGATCTATTAGCTAAAGAGAAAAGAAAAATAAAGGCATAAAATATATTTTAAATATATTTTAAATATAAAATAAGTAAATAATATTCAAATTTAATCCAGCTTGTTTACTTTAGCAACTTTGAAACATTTATACCTAGATTTTGTGATGAATAGATTTAAAATTTTGATACAGATTTCAGTTTTTTTGTGATAAGGTTTTCACTCCTAGCCATGTTAGTGTTATGGAAACTTCTGAATACATATTTCTTACAATTTTTTTCTTAAATCAAGTCATTTCAGTTTTACTGCATCAAAATTACTTATTCAAGAAAAAGAAAAAGACAGTATATATCACAGAACGTGAAATTCGTGGCCAGGCTGAAGAAGTTTCAGAGAGTTTACAAAGAGTAAAATGGTCAAATACCAAGTTAATAACTTGTTAGGATTCAATTTTTGTCGTGAGAAGTGAAGTGTGTTTAGAGTTTAGAAGCACTCATAACACCAATTTAATAGTAGTTTTGAGATCATTATTCTAATCCCTTCCATTCTTATGACAGGTTGATGATTAGCAAATTGGACACAAATTGTCAAGGTCTTGTCTATTGAATCTTGCATTTCTCAGTGGATATGTGGAAGTGATTTCAAGAAGCTGACTGCTCCCCATTGTTATAAAATTACATCTGATTCTATCAATAGTGGAGGAGCAATGAGTTGCAAAGACTGTGAGGTTGCGTTTACACATGTCAAGCACAGCAAGGAAAAGGGCAGCCTGAAGGTTAGAAACAAAGCATCCAAGTTCAGATACTTGTAAGAGGAAGAACACTAAGAATGATAAAATAACATATGAAGTATAAAAATAAAATAACTTGATTACATCACAATAATAAGAGCCTTATATATTGTCTTGTGGAGAAAAGTAGTTATAACTTCTTTGTAATTATTTTGTAACTACCTAATAGTAATTCTATATTTATTAATATTTTTTAATATGTATTTAATTAATCTACTAAGTAATAGTAAATCTAACACCTTCTTTTAATCATCATAGACTAAATTATATTTGAATTTTTGATATTGATTAAATTTTTTATGAAGTTGTTGTACTTGGATTTTAGGAGTGACTTTGTTAAAATATTCACCTTCATATCATTTGTAGGTATAAACTTCAAGACAACTTCATTTGTCTTTACTTTTTTTCAAATGTAATAATACTTGATATCAACATGTTTTGTGTAATTATAGAAATATGGATTTTGTATCATTGCAATACATGATTGATTGTGACAATAAATTGTACTTGATAAAGTTACTTAATGTCTGATTTCTTTGAAAAGAATTTGAAGCCATATCAATTCTTTTAAAGTTGTTGCCACTGCAAAGTATTCTGCTTCCATACTTGATTATACTACCATGGCTTGTTTCTTAGAATGCCAACTTAAAAGAAATGAATTAAGGTAAAACAAGTATAGAGAAGTAGATTTGTGAGCATCTATATTTCCTGCATAATTTGCATCATTCCAACAATAAAGTTGTGTTGGAGATGTGAAAGAATAACTTGAAGAGCATAGTCTAAAATTTTGAGTTTCTTTTCAATAACATAGTATATGCTTTAAAGCCATCCAATGTATTGGACTAGACTTAGCCTTAAATTGTATCATATGATATACAACAAAGGCTAAGTTACACCTAGTACAATTGATACGATATTGTAGACTTCTAATAATGTACACATATAGAATTAATGCCATGAATGACTTAAGAGAGAATTAAAGTGCTTATGGCATAATTATGGCAAATTTGAATATCTAAGATGTATTCAATTTTATTGTTATCCATTGTCATATTATATAAAGTCTTACTTGAAAATATACCGTGTACTTGGCTGTAGAAAGTAAAAGTAAATTACAATAATAAGTCCTAACAACTCTAATAGAATCATATCTAAATTAAAATTAAAGCATAATAAATATAATTAAATATTAATTAAATTTAATTAAATTTTTGAACAAATTATAAAAAAAATCACAAAGAAATCCTAAGTAAATTGTAATTAAATTCTAAATAAATCTTAATTGAATCCTAATAAAATCCTTGAAAAATCTTAGACAAATTTTTAAAAAAATTTAGATAAATTCTAATAAAATCTTATTCAAATCCTAATCAAACCTTAAACAAATCATAGATAAATCCTAATAAAATCCTATACAAATCTTAATAGATTTCTAAAAAAAATTTAATCAAATCCTAGATAAATTCTAGACAAATTCTAATCAGATTTTAGAAAAACTTTAGACAAATTCTAAATAAATCTTAATCAAATCCTAAACAAATCTTAGAAAAATCTTAATAAAATCCTAAATCTAAAATCAATCCTAAATCTCAAACAAATTTGTACTAAATTATATAGCACATTGAAACCTCCATAATTAATAATCAAATGATTGTTTTTAACTCAAATTTTGCATACGTTTCCATCATTAAGATGAAAATAAGCAAATTTTTTTTTAAGAAAGTCAAACTTATCAAATAAAAGATAAATCATAAAATATACTTTGGTATTAGCTTAACTCCTTTTCCAATCTTGATGTCAATCTTTCTAAGCCAAAATTTCTTAATTCTATTATTAAATATCTTTTAAAATTCACATATATGTTAAAAATCAAGTCTACTATCCACATACATAAATTTCATCTCAATCCAATTAGCAGATTGCTAAAGATCTCAGAAATCCTCACTAACCTTCAAAATCCCATTTTTGAGATTCCAACCCACTTGAACTTCAATAACCTTCAATCTAACCAGCTGATCATGCTCAAATTTATAGCACATAATAAAAAAAACTTTAAATACAAACTCATAAATTATTACTTATAGATCTACTACCAAACTTACAAAATTTTTCCAAATGTAAGCCAATTTTTTATTTCATAAAATCAAATTTATTAAAAATAATCCTAACTTTGCAAAGCTCTTACAAAGTCAATACAAACTCAAATTATCCAAAACTAATACTCCAAGAAATTCTATAAAGTCTTCTATCAAATTCCATTCTTTGATTTACAAAAAAAAAACCTTGCAGTTGCCATAGGTATGCAGCTTTGTGCCTCAAGGTTTGATTTTGACCCAAATTGATAATTAGACCTCTTTAGATATCAATTTTTGATAAATTGAGGTAAATTTATTTTAACATATTTTTAATTATTTTTTAAATATATATATATATATATATATATAACAATTTATTATTTTATTTTCTTTGATTTGGCTTATTTATGCCTTTACAAAATAAATAGAAGTCTTTTCTTTAAATAATAATATTAAAACTAAATTTTTTACTATCTTTCTATAATTTATTATTATTTTTCAATTATATATTTTTACTAGGTTTTTCTATAATAATATTCATATTTTTTTATTTTTTACCATGTAATTGTATTTTTATCATAGAAAAACAAGAAGAAAAGAGCACTTCAATTCTCACGAGCATACAATTGAAGAAGGTTTGAGAAGGTTCTAGGAGATTCTAGAAGGTTTTAAGAAGATTCTTGTAGATCCTAGAAGATTCTAGAAGGTTCCAAAAGATTCTAATAGGCTCTAAGAAGGTTCTAGAACGTTCCAATAGATTCTAAGAAAGTTCTAGAAAGTCATAGGAGATCCTAGAAGGTTCTTGGAGGCTTTAGATAATTTAGGAAGTTGCCAAAGAAGGATCTTAGGCTTACTTTGTTCCCAAGTGTCATAAAAATTTCTCAAGAAGTTTCCTAGGATCTAGTATATACAGGAATTGAGGCTAAGGGGATCCTCAATCTCGACAACTCACTTCTTGTAGTTTGGCCAAGACTTTCTTGTTTTGTATCTAATTATTGTTCTAATGTCGAGCTAACTCTATTTCTTGGTCTTGAATCCTTCTCTTGTATATGGTCTCTAAGATCAATTGAAATGAAATAAGATAAATCATTTAAGATTAAAACTACATCATTAATATAAAACTCTAAGATAGATAACACATGTAGATAATCATTTATAATAAACATTGAAATTTAAAATTAATTTTAAAAATCTATTAGTGAATAAAAAATCATTAAAGAAATCATATCATATACAAGAGATTTTTTAATGCTATATAAAGATTTAAATAAATAACTTATCTTAGTCTCATGACCAGGTATACTAAAGCCTTTGAGTTGAGTGATGTAAATCTCTTCTTTAAGAAATTCATTTAAAAAAGCCATAATAACATCCATTTGATTAATATGAAAGTTGT